GTCGCAAGACGAGCAGTGTGGCAAACACTGTCAACCTACACAAAATTCAGTGGTATAGCTCCAAAGTACCCTGAACCCTAAACTCCCTAAACTCTAAAGCCTCTAAACCCTAAACTCTAAAACCTCTAAACCCTAAACTCCCTAAACTTTAAAGCCTAAACCCTAAACCGGTTTACTGATGGGGACTGTGATACACAGAGAAGGTACAGGAATCCTCAAGTAACTTGACGGTAGCTTTCCTTTCGCCAGGCATGTGCTTACACGTGCAGTTCTAATACTGGGAATGTCTCCGTATTTGCAGAAACGCGAAGGGCATTTTTTGCATGAGGCTTGTGAAAATGCGACTGCCGTAGCAAAGGCAAGGTTATTGACCCGTAAACGAAAAGGACAAAAATGTCAGCCATCCGAGCACATGAACTTAAGCCTTCTGTATCAGTAGCGGGAGACTTCAACCTGGCTCCCACCTTGAACTCTTAAGCACGAATGTAGGGTTTAGGGCGTAGGGTGTAGGTTTCAGAGACACTCCCAAGCTCTCGGAAGGGAACCCAAACCCTCAACCCCAACTCTGAGTGTTGGTCTGGCCGAGTCTGAGGAGCCATTCTGACCAAGATTATGTGCGTGCGGTCCTTAGCTGCCAGGGCTTTGAACTGGACCAAAGACTGCACAGCACTGCATGCCTCTTTTCTTCTTTATCAGTCTTCTAAACCTCAACACACCCTTGCCGAGACTGGCGGCAGATGTTGCGCTGAGGGTGCCATGAACCCGAAACCCTTAGCCCTATATAAACCCTTCTTGCACTTCCCTCAATCCTGAACCCTAAGCCCCTCGTGCACTCGAGCCAAGGACGCCATGAACCGCGATATTCTGAATGTCATCTTCGGAGGTATGGCGATGGCGCCGCCGAAGAAGGATCCCGACGGTGCGTCTATGGGTTTAGGGTGTTTAGAAGTTTAGGGTTTAGGGCTTGGAGTTTGGGGCTTAGAGTTTAGGGCTTTCTAGGGTTTGGGGTTTAGGTTTCGGGGCTTTAGGCTTAGGGTTTGGGGGTTTTAGGGTTCGAAGTTGAGGTCAGGCTGTGTGAGGTGAAGACGTTTCAGTCGGCGGATCAGGCGCAATTACGTGATCAGGGCCAGGTACCAGCGGGTAGGGATGCTCAAACCAAGACCGGCTTAACATTCCAGCTGCATTGGCCTTGGAGCTAGGGATTCGCGGGGATCAGGATGTGTTGGTTCCGTGTCTTTGGGGATAGGGTTGCCTCCCAGGCTACTGCAATCAGCACCCCCCAAAGATTCCCAAAGCGGGGCCGACATAATAGAGGTTGGAGTTGCATGGACCTGCTTGGCATGCATCTGCGTGCCTTTGCAAGGGAAGTCTACGGGTAGTGACCATGCCAGGCCTGTGTCGTGGAAGAAACATGAAAGCCTGCCCCGTGTTTTCTGCAATGGCTGCAGAAATATGAGAAACGTCACAACGCCACAATCGTGAGCACGGTAGCTTGCATCGAGTGCCTTTGAGTTAGTCCAATGTTGACCAAGCCTGCAGAAGCCATATTATAAAGGTCAACATGCTCTTAAACTCCTTATGTAGTGGAATGGCGCTGCAATTTACCACCGAAATCCTCAACCCTAAACGGCCCTGAACCTCATTTTACGGTAACTTCGAAGAACGCCTCCCTAAACCCTAAACCCTAAACCCCAAACCCCAAACCCTAAACCCTAAACCCCTAAACCCCTAAACCCTAAACCCCTAAATTTTAAACCCTAAACCCTAAGCCCTAAACCGTTGCAGGAGGGCGCTGTGGAGGAGGTGAAGGACCGAAAGCTTGCGCCAAGCGTCAGCTCTCTGTCACGAACTTGTCTAGGGTTTAGGATTTGGGGTTCAGGGTCTAGGGGTTTAGGATTTAGGGTTTAGGGTTTAGGGAGGATTTCTTTGTAAAAGTCTTGGTGTTCATCGCTTAGCGTTGAGAGGGTTTCTGTTGTTGCTACTTTGTTTACGGTTTCTCGTGTTTCTAGAGGGTTTTGTGATTTGTGGGTTTCGCAGGTTGAGGGTTTGTAGGGTGTTGAGGTACGTTGTTGTTACTAAAGCACGCTGACGCGTGGACCATACAGGGATGTTGTTGTTGCAGAGCCTTAACAGGAGCCTTTTAGCCTCAGTCAAAAAGGATTTCTGAAAGGAGCCCCTAGGAACCCTTATAGATCCCTTATAAGGAACCCGTATTGAGCCCCTTAAAAGGAACCCTTTAAATGAGCCCTTAGAGGAGCCGGGGCCCTTGAAAAATAAGTCCCTTTGGGGAGGCCTGCTTGAAGGAGCCCTGAAACGAGCCGTGAAAGGAAGCCTTTAGAATGACAACCTCTCAAAGATCCCTTAAACCCTAAACCCTAAGCCTCACAGCAACCCAGCAGTCTTAATATAGAACCCTTTAAGGAACCCTTTAAGGGAGCCCAAACCTAAACCCTAAGCCCTAAGCCCTAAACCCTAAACCCTAAACCCTAAACCCTAAACCCTAAACCCTAAACCCTAAACCCTACCCCAGTCTAACGAATGAAGGCCCCAGCCTTCGTAAGCCCTGGCCATCGCAGGAGCATCGGGAGACGAAGCCCGAGCAGGTGGCCGACCTCCTCCTCGATGCCAAGGAGGCCGATAAGGATGATAATCATAATAATGTATAATAACTTATAATAACTAATAATAACTAATAATAGTTTATACTAATCTATTATAATTTATGCTAATTTATGATAATTAATAGTAATTGTAATAAGAAGAATAATAATAGTAGTAAAAGTAATAGTAAGATATGATAATAATAATAGTAGTAGTAGTAGTAGATAGCAACAATAACAAGATGGGTGGCAATAGCAAGAAGCATAGTATTAGTACTAACAACAAGAGCAATAAGAATCATAAAAGTTGTTAGCGATGGTAGTAGCTAGTAGTAAATAGTAGAATAAATACTAATGCTAACCGCGACAACGGTTTCGATTCCGTAGCAGCGAAATGTACGATGCCGATGATTTGGTGATGATGATGATGATGGTGGTGAAACACCACGAACATTACCTCCCGTCGCATGTGCGTGATGTTGGCACATGCTTTGAAAAACCCAAGAGAGTCTGCTGCAGCTTAGCCTTCGAAAAAGTGCGCTTGAACGACCTTCGGCACTGTTGCCATCCTTGTGCATGTTGTGCCTGTTTGGCTCACGATCTCTACTGCGCGGTGCCCTGCAGCCAACGAGCCGCAACTCCACTCGACACCCAGCGTGGCAATTGCGGCAAGCCTTACTTGGAGGTTCATGGGGTAGTAATAAGTGGGGTTATAAGTCCCCTAATATGGGCTATACCTACAGTTACCCTACTTATTTATAACCCCACTCATAACTACCCATGAACCTCCAAGTATGGCATTGTTGTCAGGCATGGTGAAGTACAGCCTGATGCTCCCGATGCTTGTGTCGTCTCTCCAGCACGGGGTGACGCCCGGCGGCATCTCCGTCTCGAAGGAGCAGAAGGTAGACGCCTGGCTTCCGACAAGAGCGGTTTAGGGTTTAGGGTTTAGGGGCCAGAACAAGTTGTGGCAATGATAGTTGCAAGCCGAAGCAGAATTGAGAATTTATGGGATGTGAAGGAATGACATAACGACATGTCGGTTGTCGTGAGTGCCATCCATGCCGTCATCACCACCATCACCACCATCACCGTCCTCTTGCCGCGCTATTCATCGTGATCATCCACCCTACGGCCATCACCCTTCGCCAGTATCACCACTATCTTCATCACCCCCGTCGTCATCATCGTCATCGCCATCACCCGTGTCCTCAGCCATTCTTGGGTCTTCATAATGCAGCAGAGCCGAGGTGTTGGAACCGCAAAGCTTTAGCTTCGAGGACCTCTTGCATGGCAGCGCAATGCCCAAGGGCATCTAGGTCCTTGTTTTATGCAATTTTGCATTTCCGTTTTTTAAACCCAATAAGGATTAAACATGATCCAATTTTACATGTTTGTTATTATAAACCTCACTAAGGATTAAACATGATCATGTTTACTTTAGCCCCAACGATGAACCAGGCATGGAGCCCTGGACGAAGGTCTTCGAGTCCCTCGGCCGCGGAGATCGGCTTCCGGTGCAGCAGCTGAAGCAGATGATGGACTCGAGCGGCATGAGTGGCGAGATGACGTCCGCGTACATCGACCCGGAATTGAGGTCGGAATTGGGAAACCAAACCGTGAAGAAGGGGATCGCGAATATCACAGGAAACGCTGAGTTGCTGATGAAGGCCGTGCAGCAGGATCCCATGGTACAGCAGCTAGCAGCTGTCAGCCCCGACATGGCCCAGGTGATCAACAGCCCAGATGCACTGAAGAAGATTTTCAGCCCGGAAGTCTTGGAGAAAGTGCAGAGTGGCCAGATGCCCGACGAAGCTTCCATGCAAGCCATCCTGGATTTGGCCTCCGGCACACATGCCCAGAAGGCTGTGCCCACAGCTAGTCCTGCGAGCTTGGTGGTGGATGGGGGGCTTCGGCTGAAGCAGGTGCGCGCGGGAGACGGGAAGACTTTCCCATCACCGGGTGATACGGTTTCGGTCTACTTTGCGGGCTACCTGACAGATGGCAAGCTCTTCGATCATGACAGCTTTAGCTTTGTCATGGGCAGTTCTCAGGTGATCCCTGGCTGGGAGGTGGCCCTGAGGCACATGAGCCTGGGCCAGCGAGCTGTGGTGCAGGTGCCGGCAGAGCTCGGCTATGGCAGTTCCGGCGAGGGCCCGGTGCCTCCGAACTCGGATCTGCTCTTCGACGTGGACTTACGCGCCATCAACAAACTCCAGGCTCCCTTCCTGGCCGTCTAGTGAGGGCCCCGCGCCTGCGCCTGCGTCGACCTGTGGTTCTGTTGTAGCGATGGCACTGGAGGCTGAGCCCCATGAGGTTTCCGGAGAATCTGCATGCGTAGCAACCAATCTCTCACTCTATAGTGACTCTAGTGCAGGCCCGTGCGAAAAGCTCCGTCCCATGGCCGATGTCTCTGGCAAGGAATGTTTTTGATCCGTCAGGAAGCAAGCTGACCTTATTTTGGTGTCATAATATAAAAGGATCCTACTATTTAGGGTACTATATTACCCTATCCTCCCAGGTACCTACTATATAGGGTACTAGAGCCCCTAGGGCCCTATATGGTAGGTACCTGGTGGGTTAGGGTTAAGCTCTAGATTAAGACCCTAAACCCTAAACCCTAAACCCTAAACCCTAAGCTTCATTGCAGACTTCGCTCCATGCTTGCAGGTGATGATCGTGCCGGGTTACGGCATGGCCGTCTCGCAGGCCCATGGCAGGGACTTCTAGGTAGTATCAGGGGTTTATAAATAGGGTTTAGGGTTTAGGGTTTAGGGTTTAGGGTTCAGGGTTTAGGGTTTAGGGTTCAGGGTTTAGGGTTCAGGGTTCAGGGTTTAGAGACTTCCATAGGTAGTATTTTGAGGGGTACCCCTTAAAGGGTACCCCTTCTGAACCCTACTTTTGGCTCACTTAAAGGGAACCTTATTGAGAGGGTCTATATCCCCAAGGGTCCCCCTTATCATAGCTCCCAACTTCGGGTTTAGAATGCAGAAGCTCTGGATTCTCGGCATGGGACTGTGAGGAAGCACGTAGCATGCTGCCGCGTTGATTGCTGTCGTTGTCCTGCCAAGAATACCCTTAGAATCCCCTAAACCCTAAAAAAAAACTTTAGAATTCTGATCAGCGGCACAGGCGCAGCGAGCAGTGGCAGATATCGCTTCCTTCCTGAAGGAAAAAGAGATCAACACGCAGTGTCCTCAGGTTTTACACCATCATCACTTATCACCACCATTACTGGGACCGGTGCTCATGACTTCTATATACGTCTTCGTCTATGTCCACGGCTCCACCACTGTATGGCTAATCGTTTACTGGTGATGCCACGCCCACCGCCACGGCGACGGCGACTTCGACTACAAAGATCAAGACTCGGACTAAGACGAAGATTTCGACTAAGCCTAGTCAACATAATGACAAGAACACTGGACTATTGTCATACTATAGTACCACTTCTACTCTGAAGCGCCTAAGTTGCATTGTGGCCGAGGCGCTTCTCCATTCATCCGGTGGCCGGACGAATGCCGGGACAGATGAATGCTACTGGTCGGTATGCATCATCCATCTCGAAGACGGGTTTTGACGATCATGACGAGGGTAATGCTACTGATTATGTTCTTGATGATGATGATGGTGATGATGATGGTGGTGATGATTATGTTGTTGATGATGGTGATGCTGATCCTGCGGTCTGGGCTAGTGAGTTTGCCCCCGGCGATGTGTCTGTCTGCCTGAGGTTAACCCCCAAAAAAAAACAAAAAAAAGCTCCAATGCTCAGCCCTAAAACCCGAAACCCAACACCTTCAATCCTAAGCCCTGAACCCTAAGCCCTAAACCTGTCAATCCTAAGCCCTGAACCGTAAACCCTAAATTCTAAACCTTCAATCCTAAGCCCTAAACCTAAACCTTAAGCGTCTTAGGCCTGGGGTTCAGAGCAGGCTGTGAGACGTCGATCCTAAGCCCGCAGCGGTTTCAAGGAGCTGCCAGCAAGATGGGTCTGTACTGCAGGGTTTAGGGTCTGTAGGGTTCTATGTCATATACGGGTAAGTGTCAACATCACGGTCCCTTTACTTTGGGGAGCCTATGTAATTTCATGATATCCCATGGTTAAGTTAAATTCGGCGCCCTATAGTTCGGGATCCCAAGAAGAGACCCAACCTTGGACAACCACCCATGTATGATGATGCCTTATAGTCTAGTACATGTATATTCGGGGTGTGCAATAAAGGTTATGCTAAAGACATTACGGTGTCTTAAACTACCACAACCCTCATTGTGGCATCTTCAAGAAGCATGGCGTAAATTTCCCATGTCGGCTGTCATGGGATCAGAAATGTTGACGCTAGGCCTCAGCCCCTACGACCTGTACGTTTTAGGGTTTAGGGGTATAGGGTTTAGGGTTTAGGGTTTCATCATCCTCCGCGTCATCATCATTATCCTAGTCCCTATCGCCATGGAATCCCCGTCATCATGGTCAGTCCTAAACCCTAAACGGCCCTGTGAACCCCTACGGAAACAAACGAAGCCCTTACAAAGAGCCCATGAAGGGGACCCCATTATAGAAACCCATAGTACCCTGTACAGGGGACCCCATTATAGAACCCGATGGGATCCTTTACAGGGGACCCTATTACAGAGCCGTACCCTTTGCAGGGGCCCTATTATAGTATTACAGAGCCCTATAGCAGAGCCCTATAGCAGAGCCCTATAGCATTCTAGGGGACCCGGTTATAGAGCCCTACTATTACAGAGCCCTAAAACCCTAAACCCTAAACCTAACCTTTACAGGAAGCCCTTTCAGTGTTTCCAGAGATCGAAGGTTTTGCTCGCGGAAGCTGGCGTCCCCTACGAGACTGGGGCCGCATTGACAGGCGGCAGGGTCCGAGGAGATCTGTTTTGGAGTTTAGGGTTTGGGGTTTAGGGTTTAGGGTTTGAGTTTAGGTTTTGTGAGAGTTTGAGGTCTTTTTGAGATCTCCGTTGGTGCAGTGAAGAGAAGACGAGAACTTTCGAGGTTTCGTGTGGTGCACTGAAGGGAAGAACTTTCGAGATCTCGTTTGGTGCGCTGAAGGGACGGAAAGAACAGAGCTGCCACCCCGAAAAGACCAGAAGGCAGCACAACCCCTTCTTCCCGTCAATCGTGAACGCACGCTGTCCTTGCCTAAGGACTGGGTGCACGAGATGGATGAGGTCCAGGATGAGATGTCCAACGTGGACGTGTGCTTGGTGGTAGGCGGGCGGTGTTGCTGTTGGCAGTCAGACGACTTCACAGGTTTTGGTATTGCGGTTGGGTGGCAGGCAACATGCGAATGGACAGCTTTCAGAATGGTAGTCATGGCTACCGCCTTTCCAACCTGAGAGCTTCACGGGACTTGAAGAACACGTGCGAGGCTGATAATGTGATGATGAACATAGTGGTCTAATGGCGGTGAAGGTGAATGGCGAAGACGATGGTGACGATTGGCATGCATGTGCCCATGATGATGTTGATGATGATGATGATGATGATGATGGTGATGGTGATGGTGATGATGATGATGTTTATGATGATGATGATGATAATGATGATGATGGTGATGATGATGATGATGACGATGACGATGGTGATCATGTTGATGATGGTGATGGTGATGGTGGTGATGATGGCGATGATGGTGATGATGATGATGGTGTTGACACTGATGCTGATGCTGACGTTGACGCTGACGATGATGATGGTGTTGATGATTATGATGTTGATGACAACCATGATTGACGATGTCGTCTGATGGCTCGCGACGATGATGATGCTGGTGGTGCTTGTGATAGGTTGCCTGTTGGCCGAAGATTCGGGTTCTTCTCCAAATTAGGGTTATAAGGGTGCCGTACTATATTTGGGACCTAAAGAGAACCCTAATTTAGAAATTTACCCATGTGCTGATGATGCATCAGGTAATGTAGACGCCTTAATCATTAGAATAGGGTTTGGGGTTTTTTATACTATAATTATAATGAGCAACTCCCAAAACCCTATTTTGATGATTAAGCCCCCTATGCCCCAACCCCTTATAGTAGCCACTTAGTAGCCCTTATAGAACCTTTTAAGGAAGCCTTCAAAGGAACCCTATGAAACCTTATTCTAGTTATGAAGGCCCCTACGGTACTTCACTACCCTAAAACCCTAGACCCTAAACCCTAAAACCCTATATGAACCCTAAACCCTAAAACCCTAAACCCTAAAACCCTAAACCCTAAACCCCGCCTGGGCAGGTGCGAATGACATCACCAACGAAGCAGCAGAGGTGGATGAGGCGTCATCTGGTGCATAAGATTTAAAGCAAATATAGGGGCCTCGATAGTTACCTACATTATTTTGGGGCTCCTTATTATGACTATGCTATGAAGGGCCACAAAGATTTAAAGTACTCGAAGTTGATCATACACTTATTAAGCCATAAGCAAGCAGTTCTATTGCAGTAAACTACATGAACCGGTCGCACTTGTCTGAATCTGCTGCTATATCTGATACGAAGTAATTGGAAGTCGCAAACCAAACTCCATGGGACTAGAACACACGTGTCCCTTTTGGGCAATGGGCTAGCAGAAAACGAGCAAACTGGGTTCGGGTAGGTCTTTAGAAAGCCTAGGCTTTGTAGGGTTTAGGGTGTTGGGGTTTAGGGTTTTAGGATTTAGGGTTTAGGGTTCAGGGTTTAGGGGTTGAGGGTAGAGCGGGGTCCGCAGGCAGGGTAGTAGCTGCCCCCGACAGTCACACGTAGCTGGTGACGAAGGTCTTGAGAGCTTGCAAGTTGTAATTACTACGGAAGCCTTCATACTTCGAAGAGGGTTGAGGGGTATGCCAAGTATACCATACTATACTTAAGAAAGAGTCTCAGAATAGTATTGGTAATTATCTAGGCCCGCCACTACATTACCTGTTGATGCTGCAGCATGAAGTCAACAACTTACCGTACTGGCTTCAGGGTCACACAGGGTCGCAAACGCCAGGACTGCTCCATCTACGGCATGCCTGTCGTCAAAGTGTGGGAGGCCAGGCAGCCGCAACACAAAGCTTGACTCATATCCGCAGTATCCGGGAGTAGCAATGTTTGTAATTGTATGATGGTCACGGTAGCAGTGGTCCTAGCTATTCCTAGCTCCCACTTGTCACAGTAGTAGCATTTCGACCACCAAGGATGGAAGTCGCAAGGTAGCTGTAGTTTTATCTACAGTGAATTCCTCATTATGGTATCTTAAACGCAGTTCTTAAAGCAAAGCAATCCGGTGGATCCACGCAGTTCTTTGATGCCTGCCTGCCGTTCGCAGAGGGACCAAATAATTACCTATACATTTTTTTTTT